TTTAACAGTTTACACAGTTCTTTGAATAATTTGTTTTTGTATTCTGTGCCCATGTCTGTGGTGATTGTTTTCATTTGTCCATAAATCAAGATGAAATGCTCGAACACGGCTTTAGCGACTGTCGTTGCGTGTTTGCTTGGGACTGGGATAGCTACCAAGTATTTGGTTAGATCGCTTATAATGGTAACTGCATACTCGTTTCCATTTATCGACTTCGGTAATGGTCCGACTGTATCGATTTGTACAATATCAAATGCCTGCGGAGGTGTCTCCGTTATTGTCATTGGTTCTTTTATAGGCTTGTTAGTCTTATTTTTCTTACAGTGGATGCAGTTTTTTACGTTTTTCTTACGTCATTTTTCATATTCAGCCAGCCATACTTCTGCTTGATTTTGTCTGTCATGCGATTTATTCCTGGGTGGCCACCACTGATAGGATCGTCATGATATTTATGCAGAATTTCTTTAATTTTCCCGGGATTTGTCACGTATATAACCTCTGGGGTTAGTGCGATTGTTAGATTTTTGAGAACTTTGTTACCCATTTGTATAAATTTGCCTACTGCAGTATAATTTCTTTTAAACAATTTGTCCCCTAAGGACAACTGTATTTGTACAAGTCCTAAATTGCCGGCTTCTTTTTCAAGCCTGGTAAAGAATTGTCCTAAGTCAATCTTATCCTCAACAATTAGGTTGCTTGTATCCAAATTGCTACAAATTTTCTTTCCTTTTTTGAAATATAATTTCGGAGGAGTGAAAACGAGCTCGACATGTCTTTTTACTTCAAATTTATTTAGCGCTTCGTATATTCTGGGGTTCTCTTTGTGACTTTCTTTATTTTCAGTATTACTTGTGCTGATGCTTTTTGCTGCTGATCTTGTTGTTATTTTCAATATTTTACTTGCTTCCACTGACATATCTTTTAAGTTTGTGATTGTTATGCGGGATAATGCATCCGCAATGTGGTTTTCCTTTCCGGCGATATACTCCACTTCAAAATCGTACTCTTCTAAATCGAGTCTTACTCGTGTCAGTTTTGATGAAGGACTCTTCATTGAGAATAGGTATGTTAAGGGACGGTGGTCGGTTTTAACTAGAAATTTTCTGCCATAGACATATGGTCTGAAGAAGGTTATGGCCCAATGGATTGCGGCCAATTCCTTTTCTATTGTGGCTTTGTTGATTTCACCTTTTGTGAATGACCTGGAAGCGTAGGCAATTGGTAACTGTTTGCCATCGTGTTCTTGGCTAAGGACTGCCCCACAAACGTACCCACTAGCGTCTGTTGTTATGCAGAATTCTTTATCGAAATCTGGGTATTGCAGAAGTTTTGGACTAATTAATGCTTCCTTTAAGTAGACAAAAGCTTTTTGACATTCTTCTGTCCATTCGAAGGAAACATTCTTTTTGCAAAGCCTAGTTAATTTTCGTGAGTGTTCTGCGAAATTCGGTACAAATCTTCTGTAATAGTTGCAGAAAGCTACGAATCTCTTAACTTCGTCCGCTGTTTTTGGTGTTGGGTAATTTTGAACTGTTTCAAATTTGCTCGGATCGGGTAGTATTCCCTTGTTTGTGCATTTATGTCCTAAATAAGTTACCTCTTGGCTAAAAAATAGGCATTTATCGGGATGTAATTTTAGTTTGTATTTTCTACATGTGGAGAATACGTCTCTTAAATTTTTTAGCAAATGGTTTTCAGAACAGCCTAATACAACCAAATCGTCCATGTAGAGAAATGCTTGAGATGGTTTGAGGCCTGCAAATGCTAGTGTCATCATTCTTTGGAATGAATTTGGTGCTACTTTTAATCCGTAAGGTAGTCTTTTGAATCTATATGTGCCATTTTCGGCTGTGAATGAGGTTATATCTCTGGAGTCTGGGTGTAATTCGATTTGATGAAAACCTGACATAAGGTCTACGCATGAAAAATATTTGGCTCTTCCAAGTTGGTCTAAAATATCGTAAATTCTTGGATGTGGGAATTTGTCTGCTGCTAGCTTTTTATTTACTTGTCTGTAGTCTACCACTAATCTCCATCTTTTTTCTGTTTTTCCTGGGAGTGATTTTTTAGGGACTAATAAGATTGGGCTATTATATTCTGATATAGAGGGTTCTATTATATCATCTTCTATTAACTTATTTACCTGTTTGCTTATTTCTCCTTTTTGCGTTTGAGGCAATCTATAATTTTTTATGTAAACAGGAGTGTCATCCTTCATGTATAATTTTTGTTTATAAAAATTGTTAGAAGAGATTGGTTCAGTTTCTAGTGCAAATATGTCTATGAATTCTGTGCATAGTGTTGTTAACTGAGAGTTGACAAATTTTGGAAAGTTTTTTGTTAATCTTTTTAATTTCTCTGTATCGTTGCAATTTTTATCGTGTGTGGTTGTTTTAATTAGTGTGTAATCGTCTAAACTTTCGCTATTGATCTTGTAATTTTGAATGGTTGTGTTTTTATGTGTTGTGTTGATAATTCTAACGAAAGTTTGATCTTTATTTGTAATGGTGTTTGCTACGAAAATGCCTTCAGATAATTGCTGGTGTGGGCTGAAGATGTTTTTGTTGTCAGTGTTTACTTTGACTTGTCTAATGACTTCAGATCTAGCAGGGATCGTAATTGTATTAACAGATAGACAATTTGTTAGGTGCATCGTTATTGTTTGGGGGAAATCATATGGTCTTAGGATTAGTTTATCCTCTGTTTTTCCATAGTCTAAAGTACAATTGTACTTCTTTATGAAATCTAGTCCTATTATTCCATCGCATGGAATTGGAAAGTCGTCTTCTACGACATGAAATTTATGGTAAATTAAGAGGTCATCGCCTTTTAAGTCTGCTTTGATTGTGCCTAATGTGCTGGTTATTCCCTGACCAATGCCTTTTAAATCTGTAATTTGTTCTGTATTTATTTGATGATTTTTACTAATTTGATGCTTTTTTATAATGGAGATGTCTGCTCCTGTATCAATTAAGAAATTTGAAATCGAATTATTTAATGAAGTCCTCGTAGCTATATAGCTGTTGAGATGTAGATTTAGTACGCATATTTTCCTATCTACTGATCTCGAAGTGGAGTTTCTTGGTTTTCCGTCTGGGTGCAGCTGCGCACGTTACGGGTCTGGTTGTAAGGTCTATTGCCATTTTGAGCTTGTGATCCTCTTCGGTTATTATTATTATTATTATTGCTGTTGGACCTCGAGTTATTGTTGTATCTCGGTTGCGGTCTAAATCTCCTACTTGGGTAATTTCCATAGTTGTTACTTCGGTAAGCTCCACGGAAATTACTCCGGTACTGACTCTGCTGTCGTACATTCAAAATTGTGTTTGAGCTGCCCGTTATTTCGGTACAGCTGTTCGTAAATTTAGAGATTGCATCGTTCATAGTTGTGAACGTTCCCGCTTGCATTATCATTTTGACCTTGTCATTGGAGCAGTTTTTACACATTGCTTTGACTGCTGCTTGGGTTGAATATCTCGTGGCTAAGCTGGGTTGAGTCCATCCGAGATATATGCTCCTTCCAATGACCTAGTAATTTTTTCTATTTCTGCTGTGTATTGATTAGCAGTTTTGCTACGTTGTTGGATGTTCAGGAGTTTAGCGGTTAAAACTTCTACTGATTCACCCTTTATTGCGTTTTTTAATTTTGTTTTTATCTGTTGTATTGTGTTTTCGGTACTGATAAAATTTCTTGCCGTGCCTTTTAGCTTGGTTTTTATCATTGTTATCGCTAAGGCTTCGTGATCATCTTTGATTTGATCAAGTATATCAAGGGCGTCTAGGAAACTGTGTAAGTTCTCCGGCTTACCATCAAACTCTGGTAGCACTGATGAAGCAGTTTTAATAAATTCGACTACAGTTTGCACCATTGTGACGTTTATGATTTTTTAATAGAATTGCATCTAATAATCTCTGTAAATTTTTGAATCTACCATCGAAGTCTGATATTAGCTTCGATGCTGTATTTAAAATGGTTTAGGTTTAGGAATTTTACTCATTATTAAAAAAAAATATTGCAAAATTGATTTAAATCCGTTTGTAGTAATGGAATGTCAAATAAGTATTAAATTTTTACATTGATGTTGATTTTATGTTGCATAAATTGAATAAAAGGTAATAAAATAAATGAGTACATAAATTAAATTTATTAACTTAGCTTTCTATTCGATTTGTAGAGTGTTGCTGATTTGATTGTTGCTTGCTGGCTGCTGTTGATGATGCGAAGTTTAAAGCTGTCCTCATTCCCAGAAATGTGAGGGCGTCGGCGCCTCGGAGATAGGCACTTCTTCTTTTTCATATATATTTTAGTTAGATATGATTTAAAAGCTTATTTTCATTGTTGATTTTTTTTTTTTTTAGATGCGGTTTGTCATTGACCGCTTAATTGTATTTTTTACTGCAACATACACCGCGATTAAGGCTATAACAATTATTACGAGTGCAACGATTTGCCACTTCTCTGTCTTTTGTTCACTTTCCTCGTATTTTCTTCCCAATTGTTTGTACACATCCTCGAAATGTGTCTGTTCTGTATATTTTTCTACTGCATTTTTTTTGTTTCTTTTCCGACTTCGTACCCGGAAAACGCAATCATCAAAACACTTAACATTTTCTTCCACCAAGCCATTGTGGTAAAGCGTAATTTAACTGTCTAATAACGCGCGCACTTTCGCTTCATCACGAAAACGATTTAAAACTTTATATATATTATTTTTTTTTTTTTTTCTCGCAGATTAAGGCAGGATCGCCATGAAAAGAATGAAACGCTTATATGTAGCGTGCAACTAGAATTGATTTCTTTGTTCGAAATTACTTTCTTTTATACAAGATTTCTTACCCTAATTTACACTAACACTTACAAACTACAAATGTGCATATGTTATGCTAACTCAGCGTATGT